ATGGAAGGAACGTTAAAAGTTTCTTAATCTTTTGTGGTGACACTGTGACTCACAGCATTTCCTTTTAAATGGCAGTGAGAAAACATCTGGGAAGGGGGCACCTGGATTTGAACCAAGGACCTCTTAATCTGTAGTCAGATACCTCACCTGGATTTGAACCAGGGACCTCATGACCTGCAGTCAAATGCTCTACCACTGAGCTATACCCCCTTCACCTATCAGGAGCTCCTTTCTGGACTACTTATGGTGACTCAATAGACCAAGTTCCACTCACACTAGAGTTCTGACACCCTGTGTGTTCTAAAGCCCCACCTTCTTAATTATCTATCATCTGCTTTGGCTTTTCCCTTGGGCACTAATAAACTGAGAGGAAATACTTGAAAAATGACATCCTGGCCTGGACATGGTGGCTCACGCCTGTAATCCCAGCACCTTGGGAGGCCGAGCTGAGGTCAGGAGTTCGAGACCAGCCTGTCCAATGTGGTGAAACCCCATCTCCACTAAAAATACAAAAAAAAATAGCTGGGTGTGGTGGTGGCAGGCACCTGTAATCCCAGCTAGTAGAGAGTGAGGCAGGAAAATTGCTTGAACCCGGTAAGGAGAGATCACACCACTGCACTTCACCCTGGGCTAACAGATACACACACACTCTCTTTTTCTGTATGTGTGTGTGTGTGTGTTTTGTAAAGACGGGGTTTCCTTATGTTGCCCAGGCTGGTCGCAAATGATCCACCAGGCTGAGCTCAAGCAATCCTCCCATCTCGGCCTCCCAAAGTGCTAGGATTGCAGGTGTAAGCCACGGAGCTTGGCCTTTGCTCTGTACTTGATGGAAATAGCCAGCGCTGACCTGGGGCCCTGCTGATAACTGGGGAAGTGCTTTATTGAGGTTGAGTAATGTGGCTCCTTGGTATCCCCCTAGCAGGGGGGAACTGAAGCCTCTCCTTTCAAACCTGGCACTCCTTGGTATGGAGTGCAAGGGCGGAGGCCTGAGAAGCCCTTCCTCTTCTCACCTCCTCTCCAGGGGGAACAGAAGCTGAGGGTAGAGCTGGCTCCTTGCTCCAATCTCAGGGAGGAAACAGCACCCTTGGAGATACAAATACATTTTTAAAATGTAAGCTACCATTGAGAGTTCATCTAAACATCTGTCTTAGAAATTTAGGTTAAGGGCTATGAAGGGAAGAGATGCTCTTAGAACAGAGAGAAGTGGGTGACCTCGCCAAAGACGGACGTGCTCCGACAGAGGGCTGGGGTGTTCCGGCGGCAGCCGACCCTCCCATTGAACCCACTGACTGGTTTCAGACCAGCACTGCAGTGGTCAGGCCCAGTCACCTGCTGGAGAGAATGCCTTTGGGGGCAAGGAGAGAGAGGCCTGAGCCTGTATTCAGCCCACTTCTTGGCCTCCCCACTACCCGGGCTGTGGTATGAAATGCCAACCAGGTGTAGTCACTGCATTCCCCATGCCCACAGCCGAACATGCAAACCTCAAATGGCCCGAGCTTCTAGGCTGAAAAGCCAAGGGCTGGTGAGGCTGAGGGACAGAAGACTTCCTAGAAATAAAACCCAGCACCAGGAATAATTGCAGGAAGACTGTGAACGGTTTGTGCTGGGACAGGAGAGACCAGAAATTCTGGGCTTGGCAGAGCTTGCTTTTCTCCCATGAGAAATGAGAAAAATCTCACCCTTGCCTCTGAGCCATGCGGAAAAAGTGGATGAGCTCAAGATCAACTGAGCCAAATGGGGCAAAGGATCATGTGACTAGAAGAGCAGCCCAGGATGGTGGAGTTGGGCGGGGAGGAGGGTTTACCCTGTTAGAAAAATCTCTCACCTCTTCCCCGTTGTTGTTAACTTGGGCCTGGAAAAAGTGCAGGATGCCGCCGTGAGGGGAGCAGGGGCTTCAGAGTTGGGAAGAATAGAATCTTTTTGTTGTTGTTGAGACGGAGCTTTGCTCTGTTGCCCAGGCTGGAATGTGCAGTGGTACGATCTCAGCTCACTGCAACCTCTGCCTCCCAGGTTCAGGTGATCCTCCTTCCTCAGCTTGTGTACTTGAGATCACAGGTGCCCTCCACCACACCTGGCTAATTTTTGTATTTTTAGTAGAGACGGGGGTTTCGCCATGTTGGCCAAGTTGGTCTCGAACTCCCGACCTCCGGTGATCCGCCCACCTCAGCCTTCCCAAGTGTTGGGATTACAGGTGTGAGCCACCACGCCCTACTGGGAAGAGCGAATCTTAATTCCAGGTCAGCCTTTCTTGCCAAATCACTTTAACTCAAGACACTTGTTTCCCCAGCTGTGCCATGGGGTTAGTGTGAGGGTGAAAAGTGCCTCACAAATGGCTCATATCTGTAATGCCAGCACTTCCAGAGCCGAGGCTAGATCACTGGAGCCTAGGAGTTCAAGACCAGCCTGGGCAACATAGGGAAACCCCATCTCTACAAAAAATAAACAATTAACTGAGTGTAGCCGTGCACACCTGTTGGCCCAGCTTATCAGGAGGCTGAGGTGGGAGGATTGCTCAAGCCCAGGAGGTCAAGACTGCAGTGAGTAGGAATTGTGCTACTGCAATTCATGCAATCCAGGCTGGGGAAAAGGTTGAGACCATGTCTCAAAAAAAAAAGAAAAATTCGGGGGGCCTGACCAACAGTAGGTTCTTATTAACTCGTATTAGGGAGCACCGTGGCACCATCTGCTCGTGTGTGTGAAGAGAAGCTGAAAGGATGTCGTCCCTTGGCATCTTGCCCTCAGCCAGGCTTCATCATGGCTGAAGAACCACGATGAGGCTTGAAATGGAGGCAGCACTTGCCTGTCCCGGTCCAATTTCTCCTGTGGAGGTATCTGTCCTTGCCCAAAGTTGTGCATGTAATCTACTCTCTAGCTATCCCTTCCTGTACGGCCATGATCCTGAAAGTGGGGAAGGGAATCTAGAAGACTGTCAGCCACAATGCTGAGGGGGGCACAGTGCAATCTGCCCTGGAGTTTGCTGCGGGGAGAGGGAAGAGGTCAGACCCATAGGTAACTGGGGCAGATAGGTTAAACATGTTTAAGAACTGGGCCAGGCATTGTGGCTCAGGCCTGTAATCAGAGCAGTTTTGGAGACTGAAGCGGGCGGATCACCTGAGGTCGGGAGTTCAAGCCCAGCCTAACCAACATGGCAAAACCCCATCTCTACTAAAAATACAAAAAAGGCCAGGTGCAGCGGCTCACGCCTGTAATCCCAGCACTTTGGGAGGTCAAGGTGGGCAGATCACTAGGTCAAGAGATTGAGACCATCCTGGTCAACATAGTGAAACCCCGTCTCTACTAAAAATGCAAAAATCAGCTGGGCGTGGTGGTGCACACTTGTAGTCCCAGCCACTCAGGAGCCTGAGGTGGAAGAATCACTTGAAGCAGGAGGTGGAGGTTGCAGTGAGCCGAGATTGTGCCATTACACTCCAGTCTGGATAACAAGAGGGAAACTCTGTCACAAAAGAAAACAAAAGAAAAGAAAAAGTGAAACAAATCAAGAAAACCTATTGGCCCTTAGGCAGGGGCAGTGGAGCTTAGCAGCTGAAGGCTCTGTCTCTGCTTCCAGACAGGCTGGGTTCTAACTCCAGCTTAACCATTAATGGGCCAATTACACAGCTTTTCTGGGCCTCGGTTTCCCCATTAGTAAAAGGAGTGTTGCTGTGAGTTTTGTTTCTTGAGACAGGGTCTCATTATTCCTAGGCTGGAGTACAATGTTGCCATCTTGGCTCACTGCAACCTCCACCTCCTGGGTTCAAGCGCTTCTCCTGCCTCAGCCTCATGAATAGCTGGGATTACAGGCATGTGCCACCATGCCCGGCTTTTGAATATTTTTAGTAGAGACAGGGTTTCACATTTTGGCCAAGCTGCATTTGGAGCTGTGATTGTGCCACTGCACTTGCAGCCAGGGTGACAGAGTGGGACTCTGTCTCAACAAAGAAAATTAAACCTTTTTAAAATGTGTACATCATATTATTTTCAAGCTTTTCAAAACTCAGGTTATTCCTTTTTCCCTCCCCAGACTCTGGTTCCTTCTGTCATAAAATTACAGGAGTCCATGCTGGGTGTGGTGGCTCATGCCTGTAGTCCCAGCTACTCAAGAGGCTGAAGTGGAAACATGGCTTGAACATGGAAGCTGGAGGTTGCAGTAAGCCAAAATCATGCCACTGCACTTCAGCCAGGGTAACAGAAGGAGACTCTGCCTCAAAAAAAAAAAAAAAAAATTGCTGGGTGTAGTGGCTCACACCTGTAGTCTCAGCACTTTGGGAGGCAGAGGAGGGTAGATCACCTGAGGTGGGGAGTTCCAGACTAGTCTGACCAACATGGAGAAACCCTGTTTTTACTAAAAATACAAAATTAGCCAGTCCCAGATACTAGGGAGGCTGAGGCAGAAGACTTGTTTTTAACCCGGGAGGTGAAGGTTGTAGTGAGTGGAGATACCGCCATTGAACTTCAACCTGGGCAACGAGAGCAAAACTCTGTCTCAAAAAAAAAAAAAATTGGTTCTCTATAGAATACATTGTATTAGTCAGGGTACTGGCAGGAAACGTATGGAACATTCAGGTGGGTAACTGAGTCTGCCTAGTGAGGTATCCTAGGGCTGGCAACAGTGAGGTGTGAGGACCAGGTGTACGTCTGAAGGGACAAATGGAGAGCAGTTGTTGGAACCCAGCTCTGAGTGCTTTCCAATAGAAGCAGTGGTCTTTGGTTATAGGTCCCCACGGACCAGCTAGAAGGAAGCCGGGGAACCAGTGATCCCCTCCCTCTCCTGTTGCCCTGTGTGTTCCTGCTGCTGCTTCCCACTGGCTGAACCTACCTGGCTGCTGGGAGCCATGAATCCTGAGCGAGTCCAGAGCAAAGTAGAGATGGAGAGATGATGAGGGCAGAGTGGGTCCAGAGGGGCCCAGGGAAGCTCCCCAGCAAGACTACGAAAGCCGGTCCCAGCAGCCCAGGCTTCATGATCTGCTAAGTCATTAACAGAAGCGCATGCCACACCATGATTCTTTTCTTGGTTTATTGTTTCGTAGAAAAACAGGCATTTTAACACGGAATAAACATCTCACAAACCATTGCTCCTAGATTACAAAGTCAAAGCCAATTTTCCTTGACGCTGGGCTTTCTCAATCTGACGTTCAAGTCACCATAATAGAAACCAGAGCTGCTGGTTTCTAACATTCTGGAAGGTACCTCAACAAAGGCATACTAAAGACTGTTTAAAACTTCCAGTATGTAAGAAGATCTGCCTTTCCTGCCCACACCTTTGGATAATAACAGAAGAATCCCAGTCATCTGCCGTTGAATTTGAGAAGGCCAAGTTCAAGGATTCCAAACTCCAGCCTTCCATATTTCTGCAGAGGCTCAGTGAAGTAACCTCCCCTCCTCTCCTGCTGGCTTCCCCAAGTACAGATGCAGGTCTTCCTGGGACCAGGCACCGGCGAGTCAAACCATCTCACCGGTCTCATCACTGGGCTTCTCCAAAGGGCTTTTGGTGGAAGAAGCTTTAATTTCAGTTTTGGCCAATCTTCCATCCTTAGAAAAGTCTTTTTGGTTAAGAAAAGGCAGGGAGGGTTAACTAAGTTCTAAGAATTCAACAAGAAAAGGAAATAAGTTCCTTTTATGAAAAGGACTTCCAGGCTCTCTGAGCCAGTAATTGAACTGAAATCACTTTCCTGAGTGTCTCCACACGGAATATTCGGCACTTTTCCCCTAGCAGCCAGAGGATGGGATCTGTGTACACTGAGTGCCACTGAAAATGTCCTCATTAGACGCAGTTAAAAGCTACTCTTGGCTCCCGTAAGTCAAACCCACATGCCTCTGGGCTGCACCCTGCAGAATTAGCTGTAGGAATAGCAGTAAACATCCTGCCCGATGGCAATGAGCAGCCCTGGCATGCCCCGGGAGCCCGCAGCCGCGATGAGAAGGCAACACTGGGAATGTCAGCCTTGGAGGCAGGGTATGGGGAGGGTATGGTTCTGAGTAGGTGGGCATCATGGAGGCTCCAGATTCTCATGTAGCACTCCTGGCCCACTAGGAAAGAGGGAAGACACATGGCAGGCTAGTGAGAGATTGCAAAGGAAACTTACCTACATCTAGATGTGGCTTCTCAAGGTTCCTTAGGGCTGGGATCGTCCCTAAGAGACAGTATTTGATGGGATGGAACTTCCCCTTCCTTCCTCAAGTACCTGCCATCAGGATTCCTTCTTCCTCATGCACATGCAGGGGCAGGTAGGCGTACTCGTTCACGTGGCCTTTATACTGCCTTATGCACTTAGTGGTCCTCAGGTCCCACAGCTTGATCTGTGGAAAGAAGCACGAGGGGCCATCAGGGAGGGGCTAGGAGGACCCATCAGTGGACCCCAAGTGTAAAGCCCGGAAGGCAAGATGGTCTCCAGTGGCTTGTGCGGGTCATGAAGATCTCCATCTTGAATTCCTGAGCCTTGAAGTCCATCAAAAGCACGTAACCAGGCTGGGCGCAGTGGCTCACACCTGTAATCCCAACACTGGGAGGCTGAGTTGGGCAGATCACCTGAAGTAGGGAGTTTGAGACTAGACTGGAGAAATCCCGAGTCTACTGAATATATAAAACTGCTGGGCGCAGTGGCTCAGACCTGTAATCCCAGCACTTTGAGAGGTCAAGGCGGGCGGATCACAAGGTCAAGAGATTGAGACCATCCTGGCCAACATGGTGAAACCCCATCTCTACTAAAAATACAAAACTTGGCTGGGCGTGGTGGTGTGCACCTGTAATACCAGCTACTTGGGAGGCTGAGGCAAAAGAATTGCTTGAACCGGGTAGGGACAGGCTGCAGTGAGCCGAGATCGTGTCACTGCACTCCAGCCTGGTGCCTGGCAACAGAGCGAGACTCTGTCTCAAATAAATAAATAAATAAATAAATAAATAATAAAATAACATAACGTAACATAACATAACATAACATAACATAACATAACATAACATAACATAACATAACATAAGCCAGGCGTGGTGGCATACACCTATAATCCCAGGTTCTAGGAAGGCAGATCGCTTGAACTCAGGAGGCGGAGGTTGCGGTTAGGTCATTGCACTCCAGCCTGGGTAAGAAGAGTGAAACTGTCTCAAAAAAAAAAAAAAAAAGGCACATAACCACAGACTCCTTTTCACTTTTCTCTAGTCCAGATTAGGCTCACATGGGCAGCAAAGCAGTCCCCATGTAGGGCTTACAAATCCCTAGGTCTTCAGCTACCTTCCCCTGACTGGGATCTTGATATGAGGACCTCCTCAGCAGAACCCCTTCACCTGGCAGGGCTCCATGTTCCCCTACCTTTCCAGCCATGTCTGACGCCATCAGGCATTGCTCGTCTTGGACAATCCACACAGAGGTCACTGCTGAGTCATGAAACAGGTGAGTGGCTTTCCACCCCTTGCCTTGATTTCCACAACGCAGATCAATGGCAAAGATCTCCCCAGAGCAGCAGCCATTAAACAGCAGAGGAGTCTGTGGAAAGAGGGACTGCTCGGTGTGCGGCCATCATGACCTCCCTCTGAGGCTGGGCAGGGCAGGTCCTCCCGATACAACCCCTCTTCAAGCCCCTGGGTCAGATGGCGTGATTAGGCACGTGCTGGTCAGGGTTTGGGTCTCAATGGAATTGGAAGGGAAGATGATTCCTTGTTAGTGGGTAGAAGAACCAGACCCCATGTGTCCTCCTCATGGGTAGCATGGAGGTCCTAGGAGCTGCCCCCTGCACTCTCCCTTTTGGCCTTTCTCTCTGAAGTCCCAGTCAGAGATGGCATCCCCGTCTACACCAAAAAAAGGTTAGCAGATTCCTTCACTTTTAAGGAAAGATGGCATTTTCTAGAGGAAAGTCTTCAAATTATATTAATAACCAGAATTTTGATTTCTTTTTCTTTTTTGAGACCGAGTCTTGCTCTGTCACCCAGGCTGGAGTGCAGTGGCATGATCTCGGCTCACTCCAACCTCCACCTCCTGGGTTCAAGCAATTCTCCTGTCTCAGCCTCCCAAGCAGCTGGGATTACAGGCGCCTGCCACCATGCCCAGCTAATTTTTTTATTTTTAGTAGAGGAGGGATTTCACCATGTTGACCAGGATGGTCTCGATCTCTTGACTTCGTGATCCACTCGCCTCGGCCTCCCAAAGTGCTGGGATTACAGACGTGAGCCACCGCGCCCGGCCCAATTTTTGTATTTTTAGTAGAGAGGGGGTTTCACCATGTTTGCCAGGCTGGTCTCAAACCCTGACCTCGTGATGCACCCACCTTGGCCTCCCAACGCGCTGGGATTATAGGCGTGAGCCACTGTGCCTGGCCTGATTTTTTAAATTTATAAAATATATAACTTGAGAGCTGTGTATGTATGAATTGGTATTTAGGGTATACATTTTAAAAATGGTTTGTCCTGGTGGGTAAATCCAAGTACCCAAAAACTGCTCACAATTCTTCTCCACGAGAAGCTCTTTAGAGTGACTCAGGCCAGACTTCCAGGATCAGCCAACTTTCACTCGGCTCAGACACACTTACAGAGGAACCCACTGATCCTTTCTGATGCTCTTTTTCCCTGTCAAGGAGGACTAGATGGCACACAGAGGAGTCCAATTTCAATCTGCCACATTTCCACCTGGGGCAAACTTTATTCTGCCTGTTCCAATCCAACCAACCATGAGAGCAAACTGCTGGGCCAAGACGTCACTGCTGGTCCCAAAGGACTGCCGGTGTCCCGTCACGACGTTGGTCAACAGGACGCGCCGAGACAAGCCTGGTGGAGACACAGATGGGCTGGTGAGATTGTGTCACACACAGGCTAGGGAGAGTGACAGCTGGATGGGGTTTTGAGGCCTGTTAAATCTCTGGGCACCTGGGGAGCCCGGCTCACCTGTACTGAAGCAGTTATTTGCTTTGATATTCAGGGACCAGGCACAGGACCAGGCACCAGGGATCCGGAAGCTGCAGAGCATGCCAGGCCGGTCTATTCCTGCTAAGAGATTGGAGAATGTAAAGTGAGGCTACCCTTTAGGCGGGCCAGGGACCACCGGGTTCGCAAAACATTCATATATGGCATTGCTGCTCAGAGGGTCTATCCCTTTGGCCCTATTCTGGGTTTTGTGGTTGCAAGAGAGGGAGACTCAGCTGGGATGCCTGGCTCGCAAGCGGTCATTCTGAAAGTGAATGTATGTAACATTCTAAGTAGTTGTGTTCGCAGTACTAATACTACTGATAATCCAGGAGGTAGTACGCTGTTGCAGGTTAGGTGGTTCCAATCCTCCAACACCTATCAGCTATGTGATCTCAAGCAGTGTGTGTGTGTGTGTGTGTGTGGGTGTGTGTGTGCGCGCGCGCGTGTGCATGTGTATACGTATATGTGTATATACATACATTTGTTTTTTGAGACAGGGTCTTGTTCTTTTGCCCAGTCTGGAGTGCAGTGGCGTGATCATGGCTCAATGCATCCTCATCCTCCCAGGATCAAGCAATCCTTCCATCTCAGCCTCCCAAAGTAACTGGGACCACAGGTGTGAGCCACCACACAACCGCTTATTTGTTTTTTGTACAGACTGGAGTCTTGCTATGTTGCTCAGACTGGTCTTGAACTCCTGGGCTCAAGTAATTTTCTTGGTCTCCCAAAGTGTTGGGATTACAGGCATGAGCCACCGTGCTTCGCCAAAATATTTAAAATAAACTTTTACACTGATAGAATGTACAGATTGTAAGGACAGAGTTCATTGAGTCATCACAAACTATAGCCCTGTAACCATCACCCAGGTTAAGATATAAAACAGACCAGCCTGACCAACATGGTGAAACCCCATCTTAAAAAAAAAAAAAAAACAAACAATCCAGTATCCCAGAGGCCTCCCTCATGTCCTTTCCCAATTACTACCTTCCCAAAGGGTACTGTGAGCCTGACTTCTGACACTAAAAGTTACTTTTGTAAGGCAAATTCTGAAGCTCTCTGTCTCAGTTTCCTTGTCTGTAAAATGCTGGTAAGACACACTCCTGCCTCATAAGCTTGCTGTGCAGTGAAACACCAGGCACTGGGCTGAGTGTGTGTGACCTCATTTAACTCTCCAAGGATGCAGACTGGGAAGGCCTTGTCCACTTCAGAGAGGTTCAACATTCCATTCAAGTTGGCAAGGGGCGGAGCTGCGATTCGTGCCAGGTCTGCCTGAAGCCCACACTCTTAAGAGGCCCATCACCCTTGTGTTATTGATCCTAATTTTCTGATAGATTGAAAATGTGATATATCCAGAATGCTGTCAGGAAGGAGGCATCCAACTGCCTTAATCCAGGCTGAATATCAAGTATCCCTGATAGCACCTGTCATGCAGGAGCTCCAGAGGTGTTTTCTGAAAGATGTGCACAGGCATCCAAATCTGTTCTGATCTCACCTTGGTTTACATGCGCATTAAGTCCACCCTGGCTGCTGAAATGACTGAAATGGCCCAAAATGGGTAAAACGGGGCAGATGCTGTAAAAAAGCACTTGCTTCTGGTACTCACCCTGGGACAGGCTTAGGGCATCCTCCCACAGTGCTTCTGCAGTGGCCCCACCCCCCTCTCTAACCATCCCCACACAGCTCTCGGGAGGCAGAGGACAGGTTTCTTCAAAGGAAGAGAACCCTGTACCTGGGTGACTATTGACAAACAGTGATGCTGGGAGCAGGGTGGCACAGCCTGGAGTCTCTGCGAGTCCCATGAGGCACAGCCTGGAAAAAGCTGTTAAGGACTGTCAAGCACAAGGCTCTCTCTGGGAGGAAGCATGGACATTTACCCTTCGGAAGGTTATACAGCACAAAGCAGGACAGAGTAACCCAATGTCCAGATGGAATATGCGTTCACACTGTCCACATTTAGCTTCAGAGTTTTTTTAAAGGGCAAAAAAAATCAGATACAGTTCAAAGCTGGGTGTGGCGGCTCCTGCCTATGTAATCCCAGCACTTTGGGAAGCTGAGGCGGGAGGATCACTTGAGCCCAGGAGTTTGACACCAGCCTGGGAAACATGGCAAAACCCTGTCTCTACAAAAAAATACAAAAACCAGTTGGGTGTTGTGGTGTGTGCCTGCAGTGCCAGCTGCTTGAGAGGCTGAGGTGGGAGGATTGCTTGAGCCTTGGAAGTTGAGGCTGTGGGGAGCTGTGATCACGTGACTGCATCCCAGCCTGAGTGACAGAGTAAGACCATGTCTCAAAAATAAAATACAACAAAAAAAACAAAAAGCCCTCTCTGATCCCTCTCTAGGCCAATTCTCCATTCTCTGCCCAGAGAGAACTGCTCTTCTCAAATTGGTGTAAGTTCTTCTAAGCCATTCTGTATTTTCACTACATAATTTGTCAATAAACAATATAAAGCAGCATTCATAAAAAACAAAAACAGAAATGCATTGCACAGAATAACTCACTACCAGCCCTTAAAATTTCTGCTTATCTGCGTGGATACAAGGTGATACCTCACGGCTATTTCAGTTTGCATTTCCCTGACTACATGTGTGTGTCTCTGTTCACATGATCGGTCATTGGCTTTCCCTCTCTGAACTGCCCCTTTATACTCCTGTCTACGTGTGTGTCTTCCGACTGATGTGGTTCCTCACCTTTCCCTCTCATAGCCAAACTTCTCTCCAGAGGAGCCTACAGTCATTCTCACTCCCTTGCCTTTCTTCCACTGAAATCCAGGCCTGACCCTCACCTTCCCAGAGGAATGTTCTCACCACAGTCTTCAATGAGCTCCTAGTTTCTGTATCTGATGGCAACGTTCCAGTTCTGCCCTATGGCCATGTAGCCCGATTTCTAGTACACACTCCTTAGCCTTAACCCACCCCTCTCTGAGAGGTCTGTCCTGGGCCTTCTCCTATCACAGGATGCCCACACTAGAGCCTGCGCCTGCCCCTTGGTGCCCACCCCTCCGCTCCTGCTGCCTCAGTTTACGCCCTCACTGCTGCCCTTAGCCTTGCAGCAGCTTCTGTCTGAGGACTTGCTCTCGCCCGTTTAGCCCCCAAAAATGTCACCAAAGGAATCATTTTCAAAAATGACTCCACCAATCACAACCCCCTGGGACATCCCCCAGCCCCGAGTGAAATTCAGTCTTGAAAGGACCTCCTCTCTAGCCAGAGACATTGTCAATATCAAGCTGCTGCCAAACACAGTAAGCTTTCTCCCATCTCTTCCTTCATTTAGGAGTCCCTGGCCTCTTCCTGTCCTCGTGGGTCTCACTCCAGGAAGGCTGCTACAGTCCTTCCTGCACGTGGCTCTCCTCCTGAACTGATGACCTGTGAAGCTGCCTATCTCTAGCTCCTTGCCACTGCATATGCTCAACAGGTGTTGTCTGAATGATCACACACATTCCCCACTGGAAAATGTAAACACCTGAAAAGCAATCAGGTAACTTTAAAAAATCTTTAAAAAATTTTTATTTTTATATATATTTTTGAAATGAGGTCTTGCTCTGTCACTCAGGCTGGAGTGCAGTGGTGCAATCTTGGCTCACTGCAGCTTCCACCTCAGCCTCCCTAGCAGCTGTGATTACAGGAGTGTGCTACCACATCTGGCTAATTTTTGTATTTTTAGTAGTGACAGGGTTTCACCACGTTGGCCAGGCTGGTCTCGAACTCCTGACTTCAAGTGATCTGCCTTGGCCTCCCAAAGTGCTGGGATTATGGAAATGAGCCACCACGCCCGGTCATTTTTCTCTCTCTTTTTTCTTTTTGAGACAGGGTTTTACCATGTTGGTCAGACCGGTCTCAAACTCCTGACCTCAGGTAATCTACCCACCTCGGCTTCCCAAAGTGCTGGGATTACAGGTGTGAGCCACCACGGCCCGCCTCTCTCTCTTTTTTTTAAGAGACGTCGTCTCTCTCTTTTGCCCTGGCTGGAGTGCAGTAGTGTGATCACAGCTTACTGCAGTTTTGAACCCTGGGGCTCTAGTGATCCTCCTCCCTCAGCCTCCTGAGTACCTGGAACTATAGGCATGTACCACCATGCCCAGCTAATTGAAATTTTTTGTTTTGTTTTGTAGAGAGGAGGTCTTGCTATATTGCCCAGGCTGGGTCAAACTCTTGGCCTCAAGCAATCCCCCGACTTTGGCCTCCCAATGTGCTGAGATTACAGGTGTGGGCCACAGTGCCTGGCCAGCTAACATTCCTGACCATCTGAATATGTGACATATATGTGACATACTGTTTTGGGTGTTAAGCTCCAAGTTAAGTATCTCCAGGACAGAGGCTGCTGAAACTGTAAATGAGAACACTGTTGCCAAATCAACTTAGTTTGCTTCTGGGACTGGAGGGCAAGGAAGTGAAGAAAGTGGGGTGTGCACTTTAGTTACTGTTGCTGAATCCAGCTTATTTATACTCAAACTTATGGGGCCAGGCTAAGATTCAATCCTTTGACAGGCCGCAGGGTAACTAAGGGCCCAGTAAGTGTAGAAATAGAAAGAATTCCGTCTAACTTCCCACCAGTCTTGCAGGGAAAATGCAGAGTGCAGGTCTGAACAAGATATCATTTTTCTAAAGGGAAAAAGTTCTCTGAACTTCCGAAGCAGCACAAAAAGTCTTTAGCACAGGCCAGATGTGGTGGCTCATGCCTGTAATCCCAGCACTTTGGGAGGCTGAGGTGGGCGAATCATCTGAAATGAGGAGTTCAAGACTAGCCTGGCTAACATGGTGAAACCCTGTCTCCACTAAAAATACAAAATTAGCTGGGCGTGGTGGTGGGTGCCTGTAGTCCTAGCCACTTGGGAGGCTGAGGCAGGAGAAACACTTGAATCTGGGAGGAGGAGGTTGCAGTGAGCTGAGATCCTGGCACTGTACTCCAGCCTGCCGACTAGAGTGAAACTGTCTCAAAAAATAATAATAATAAATAAATCTTTAGCACAAAAGCCCAAAATCACTAGAAACACAAGGCACAGATGAAGCTACAACAGACCATCCGTCCCTTTAAGCCCAATTACACGGATTTTTTTCTTCCCTCTCCTTAGCCCACAGAAACATAAGAACACCATGCTGTTCTATTTATTTATTTATTATTATTAATTTTTTGAGACGGAGTTTCGCTCTTGTTACCCAGGCTGGAGTTCAATGGTGTGATCTTGGCTCACTGCAACCTCCGTCTCCCGGGTTCAAGGAATTCTCCTGCCTCAGCCTCCTGAGTAGCTGGGACTACAGGTGTGCACCACCATGCCCAGGTGATTTTTGTATTTTTAGTAGAGACGGGGTTTCACCTTGTTGACCAGGATGGTCTCGATCTCTTGACCTCATGATCCACCTGCCTCGGTCCCACCAAGTGCTGGGATTATAGGCGTGAGCCACCGCGCCCGGCCCTTGTTTTAAAAGAATGGAAGTGAGAACGAGGTTCTTGTTTTTCTCTGCAGAGCTTGGCCTCTTTGGCCCTCTAGATCATCACAGTAACAGGTGGTCAGTCTCATCAGCCTACAGAATCCCGTCAAGTGAAAGCCACATAAAAATTTCAATTTAGAGAACACACACAGCTTCTATGGTCTCATAGAAGGGAAAGAACAGACAACAAGGAATGGTGGAGTTAGAGGGAGTTTGAGTTAACAAAATGTGACCAAACAAATCCATTGTAGCCAGAGAGTCCTGGGCCAAAATGGGAGATAAGGCTTACTTGTATTCAAGAAAAAAAGGGTATTAGACAAAACAGAAAACAAAATGAGAGCCGGATTGGTCTGTCTGAAGCCCTTTGGGGTTTAGAAAGGAGCCAGTCCTTTCGAGAGCTTCATGCTGAGATATCATGGAATTTGACAGGGATGTGGTGGATGACAGCAGGATGGGATTAAATGTAGCAAGCAGGATATGCAGTTACCAGCAAGTTACCCACTGTTCTTAGGGATATTCCAAAAGCCTGGGTTTGAAGAAAGCAAGCCTTAATGGAAACCAACGTCTAGTCCACATTAGAGTGTCTGCTCCTTTGATGCCCCATTGGGAGGGGGATGGAGTTCTGCAACTGTTTTTTACTGAAAAGAGTAAAACCAGTTTTGAAATAGTGCCCTAAGTCCCAGCGCCCAAATTTGTTACTGGCAATTGGGCGCCCTCTAGTGTCAGTTAGCAGGGATGCCACCCTTTGAAAGTCGTAAAGTTGGGAAACCCTCTTGGGTTCCAGCTCTAGAGGAAATTGCCAAACAGCAGTATTTACATGGATATCTGGAAGACAGGAAAAGGCTAAAAGAGCTCCAATATGATACAAACGAGTCCTTCTGTCACGCATAGTAGGAATATAGTAGGTATTCATGGAACATAGTAGGTATTCTGGAACATAGTAGGTATTCATGAGATGTTTGTTGAAAGTGAATGGCAATTAAGTCCATGGCAGACAATCTTGCATTAATGCCCCATCCGGATATTGACATGTAATGAATACACCACCTGTCAAACTGATGCAGAAATGAACACTTTCACTGCTCAGATCTTAGGATACTGTTTTTTTTTAAGACAGAGTCTCACTCAGTCACCCAGGCTGGAGTACAATGGTATGATCTCAGCTCACTGCAACCTCCACCTCCTGGGTTCAAGTGAATCCCTCCTGAGTAGCTGGGATTACAAGCGCCTGCCACCACGCCCAGCTAATTTTTGTATTTTTAGTAGAGACGGGTTTCACCATTTGCCCAGGCTGCTCTCCAACTCCTGGTCTCATGTGATCCGCCCACCTCAGCCTTCCAAAGTGCTGGGATTACAGGCATAAACCACTGTGCCCCGCCAGATCTTAGGATACTTTCGGAGTGATATACTTGAGTAAGAACCATGGCTAGATACCTAGCTGAAATTAAAGAAATTACTCCACTGGATCAACCAAAATATATATGCTGTAACAAAAGTATATCCTCTTGGCCGGCCATAGTGGCTCACATCTGTAATCCCAGCACTTTGGGAGGCCAAGGCGGGAACATGACCTGAGGTCAGGAGTTCAAGACCCGCTTGGCCAACACGGTGAAACCTGATCTCTACTAAAAATACAAAAATTCAAAGATTGGCCGGGCCTGGGTAGCACATGCCTGTAGTCCTAGATACTCGGGAGATGGAGGCGGGAGAATGGCTTGAACCCAGAAGGTGGAGGTTGTGACACAGTGAGACTCTGTCTCAAAAAAACAAACAAACAAAAAAGAGTACGTCCTCTTTGTAAGTCCTCTTTTCCTCACTGAGCTTTGGTGAGTCCATTTGCAAAGTCAAGGGGAGCTAAGACTTTTCTCTAAGAAAAGATTACCTATGATCCTGCATACCATTAGAGCAGTAAAACACGTTTGATTTATTTCTCTCCTATGCTGAGTCAAGTGGTGGGGGAACATGCCCACTTCCATTGCCAGAGCTGTTTTTGCATCAGATCAGATATTCATTGAGAGCAGAAGAAAAAATTAACCTCACACACTGACCTCAAATTGTTTGCCAGTCAGTTCTTTTGTTGCAAGAAACTTAGATTCAGTAGACTAATCTAAGCATTCCCAAGCCATTCCAGTTTTGCCCAGAAGGATTACAAGGCTTTAGAAGAAAAAACTTAAAAAATAAAAAACAGCCTTAGCTTGCAGTGATCTATCCGATCAGAGTGCACGGATTGCTGGGATAGCTAACAGTGCTCTTGGAACATGCCTTCTCCCTGTTGCAAGAACTTGGAAAGACACGCCCTGTGCAATCCCTGTGCAAATATAAGACAAGCACCATGCCACTTTCGTTTTGTTTTGTTTTTTATCTTCTTGTCGCTTACACCTGTAATAAAACTGCAAACCATGCTACTTTCTTTGTTCACAAAACCTACACCTTCTACTTCTTCCTCTGTGAATGCCATGTTGTACCTGTAGCCTATATCTATGTTTTTTGAATGATTAAATACCTGAAGTTGAACATCCGGCAGAATGGCCTCAAAAAACTAGACCTGCCCTGCCTTGTGGAAAAGCCCCAGAGGCCACACTTACCTATGGCTGATATTTCAAATGACTATTCATTTGTCCCAGAAGTCATAGACAGATTTATGCCTCAGACACTCTGCGAAGAGGTACCCAGAGCACAGACTGAAAATGCAAATCAGTATTCCAATCTTCTTTCTGGGATCAGGAGAATAAAGGGAGAACAGATGCCTTAAATGCATCAAGGGCACACGGTGCTGCTGGAAAAGGGTTGCAATTCTGTCCCCCACACAAAGCCCTTTAGGAGAGGGCATCCATGTACGCTGAAACTTACTTAACATTTCTAAAAGTGGGGTGAATCCCAAGGGGCCAGGCTGAGCCTGGGTGTGCTTTTGCATGTAGAACAGCTGCTAGAGCAGGACCTGGTCTCCCAAGAAAGATGGGGTCTTGCTCTGTTGCCCAAGCTGGTCTTGAACTCGTGGTGTCAGAGGCGTGTGACCCAGAGCAACTCCATCTTAAATAGGAGCTGGGTAAAATGAGGCTGATACCTCCTGGGCTGCATTCCCAGTAAGCTAAGGTATTCCAAGTCACAGAATGAGATAGGAGGTCAGCACAAAATACAGGTCATAAAGACCTTGCTAATAAAACAGGTTGCGGTAAAGGAGTCAGCCAAAATCAAAATGGCGACAAGAGTGACTTCTGGTCGTCCTGACTGCTGCACTCCCCACCGGCGCCATGACAGTGTATAAATGCCATGGCAAGGTCAGGAAGTTATCCTATATGGTCTAAAAAGGGGAGGCATGAATAATCCACCCCTTGTTTAGCATATTATCAAGGAATAGTCATAGAAATGGGCAACCAGCAGCCCTCGGAGCTGCTCTGTCTATGGAGTAGCCATTCTTTTATTCCTTTACTTTCTTAACAAACCTGCTTTCACTTTGCAAAAAAAAAAAATTATAAAAGTGAGGCATTAGGAGTAGAAAGTCAGGCTCCCAGCTGGCTACCATATTTAACTGGTTTCTATTTTAAGTAAGGACTACAAGGAAAGAGGTGGGAGACAGGGCAGAGTCCCGCATGTGCTCTGCAGGAGCAGTTACTCACCAGGTCATTACTCACTAGTAATCACCTTTGCAGGCTCACAGCTCATGTAGAAGAATGAGGGCTTCTCTTCTCCAGCCTTCTTTTCAGGGCTCCTAACCTTCCAGCACCCAGAGCACTCTCCCAGTAGGTGGTCAAAAGAGCTTACCCAGAACACCAGGAGAAAGAGAGGAGGAGGTGCAGGGAGTTGGTAATGGCCTCCAGCATTCCGATGGCAGAACTGAAGAGCTCAAATAGGTGGTGGGACATTGGAACATGAAACAGTACATCAAATCCAATAGCAAAATCTCTTAATTGATCCTCATAACATGACATCATAAAAGGCCCTTTTTTTTTAATTATTAGAAAAAGACATTTTTGGCTGGGTGCGGTGGCACACACCTGTAATCCCAGCACTTTGGGAGGCTGAGGCAGGCTAAATCACTTAAACTCAGAAGTCTGAGACCATCCTGGATAACATTGCGAAACCATGTCCACACAAAAAGCATAAAAATCAGCCAGGTGTCGTGGTCTGCACCTGTAATCCCAGCTACTCAGAGGGATGAGGTGGGAGGATCACTGGAGCCCAGGAGATCAAGGCTGCAGAGAACTGTGACCGCAATGTGCATGCCAGCCTGGGCAACAGAGTAAGACCTCATCTCAAAAAAAAAAAAAAAAAGAAAGAAAAGAAAAAGAAAGAGACATTGTTGATGGAACCTGCTAGACATCCATGGAGCTCAACTTCCTACTTGTAAAAATCCACAGTGCCTGATTTTATTGTAAAACACATTTGGCCAGGCATGGTGGCTCACGCCTGTAATTCCAGCACTTTGGAGGGCCGAGGCACACAGATCACCTGAGGTCAGGAGATCAAGACCAGCCTGGCCAATGTGGCAAAACCCCGTCTATACTAAAAATACAAAAATTAGCTGGGTGTGGCGGCGCATGCTTGTAATCCCAGCTACTCAGGAAGCTGGAGCAGGAGAATCACTTGAACCCGGGAGGCAGAGGTTGCAATGAGCCAAGATCACACCACTGCACTCTAGCCTGGGTGACAGAGCGAGATCCTGTCTCAAACACACACACACACACACACACACACACACACACACACACACACACACACTTATTTAAAGAAATCAAAAGTATTTTCCACATCCTATGAAATCCCTAAATCTCATTATAAGTTCACTATAAGTTACCATTGGTTGAATTTTGCCATCAAATAGAATTTAGTGCCCTCAAGTTCACGGTGTTGGGTGAAGTATTATACACAAAGTAATTCAGACAATATCTCAGAATCTTAAACTTTATCAATACCCTATATAACATTATAAACTATTTCCAAAAAAATTGTGTAAGGTGCTTCCTGTTCAAGCAGACAGCTGAGCCCAACCAATGAGAAAGGATTCATCATCATCATAAAAACCACTGTGAATAGTGCCTCCCAGGTGAAGGCACTGTTCTAAATCGCTTTATCGGAATGAGCCTGTGTAAGCCTCTCAACCACTCTTTAGACATACTCTCAAGATCCTCATTTTACCGGCAGGAAATCAAAGGATGACTGTAGAAGCAAACTGATAGTAACTAGCAGCCTCCACTTAAAACTGGGTCAACGAGTTTGCCAATCTCTAAACTCCAGTCCAAAAAACTTTTTTTCATGTCAGACGGGTAATATGCCAGCATCATAACAAGGTTTGAGGGAGCACAGCTCACACATGCACGTGAAAACCCAGTCATCATGCTGATGAACTATAAAAGGATTCAAATATCTCTTCTTTCAAGTTCAAAACATAAAAATGAATTTTGCTGGGCGTGGTGGCTGACGTGGGGGCCAAGGCGGGCGAATCACCTGAGGTCAGGAGTTCAAGACCAGCCTGACCAACATGGTGAAACCCCGTCTTTAAAAAAAATAAAGAAAAAAAATTAAAATGAATTTTACTCTCAAACCTAAAATTCGCAACACCAGGTTTGTCATATCACACAATGCTATTTTCATTAGCTACTTGAAAAGCAGGGAAGAAACCTTTTTCTCAGACAAATAAAACCACACATACGTTTGAAGCAGCAGGCAACCATTAGTGCCCCTACTATTGGAGAAGTCTCTTTTTTTTTTTTTTTGAGACAGAGGGTCTCACTCTGTTACCCAGGCTGCAGCCTCATGCTCCCAGGCTCTAGTGATCTGCCGACCTCAGCCTCCCATGTAGCTGGGACTACGGGCACGCACCACCACACCTGGCTAATTTTGTTCACTTTTTGTAGAGACAAAGCCTCACTATGTTGCCCAGGCTAGTCTTAAACTTCTGGACTCAAGGGATCCTTCCACCTCAGCATCCCAATGTGCTGGGATTACAGATGTGAGCCACCACTCCCAGCTCCTCCTTTTCCTTTATACTGTTTCTTTTTCCTCTCTTGGCCTTTCTGCCACCTCGACGTTTCCCTCTGGGGAGAGTGGAGAATTTCAAACCAGTTTACCATGGTGCATACCTGCAAGGAAAAAAACAAATACCAAAACATCAAATTTCTACTAAAAGTTTTTTAAAGTTTACCTAAGGCTGGGTGCAGTGGCTCATGCCTATAATCCCAGCACTTTGGGAGGCCAACATGGGTGAATCACTTGAGGTCAGAAATTTGAGACAGCCTGGCCAACATAGTGAAACCCCATCTCTATTAAAAATACAAAAATTAACTGGGCATGGTGGCAGGCACCTATAATCCCAGCTACCAGGGAAGCTGAGGCAGGAGAATCACTTGAACCCGGGAGGCAGAAGTTGCAGTGAGCCGAGATCACACCACTGCACTCCAGCCTGAGTGACAGAGCGAGACTTCACGTTTACCTAAAGCAGCAAATGATTCTGCTGACACAGTAAAACCATCAAAGAGATGGGCAGTAATAAAATATGTGTGACTTTAAACCTTTTCCCAACTGCCCCATAATGCAACGGAGTTAATACTTCAGAGCAATAGGTGTTCCCGTTGTTCATTCTTTTTCACCCCTTTCTCCAGTTGAGCCCCCTCAAGCCAACAATAAATAAGAATGTATACATTACTGAGGCTTATTGGTATAGAGGTTTGATGTTTATTTGGTTTTTGTTTTTAATGTTATATTCAATGTGAAAATAATTTCATCTTTTTCCTGGACATAACAACAATGCACATCTATTATGAAGAATTAGAACAATATGGCTGGGTGTGGCGGCTCATGCCTGTAATCCCAGCACTTTGAGAGGCTGAGGTGAGTGGATCACCTGAGGTCAGGAGTTCAAGACCAGCCTGGCCAACATGGCAAAACCCCATCTCTACTAAAAATATAAAAAATTGGCTGGGTGTGGTGGCATGTGCCTGTAGTCCCAGCTACTTGGGAGGCTGAGGCAGGAGAATCACTTAAACCCAGGAGGCAGAGGTTGCCGTGAGCCAAAATAGCTCCACTGCACTCCAGCTGGGGCGACAGAGTGAGACTCTGTCTCAATTAAAAAAAAAAAAAAGAAGAATTGAAACAATACGTAAAGATAGAAATATGAAAATGAAAGTCTCCTAAAATCTCACCATCCTAATCAGTAATAATGAGGTAGACTTCTTGCAGTGTATTTATGTACACATTATGTATACACACATGCACACATGCCACAGTTTTACATGGATAGGATCATAGCATATCTGCTGTTTCTGTTACAAACAACTCTTCTCTTTTTCTCTCCTCCAACTTTAACAGCAACCTAGAGTGTATGTGTATATGTTTTCCTTGTAACCATACACACACACCTATATACATTTTCATATACACTGACACATGTGGAGAGGTTTTCTGTTCTTTTTTTACCATGATGGAATCATATCACACTCATTCTGTATCTTACTTTTCTCGCTCACCGACATCTCTTGGAAATCTCTCTCAGACATCTGGTAAGGCTAATATTCATCCCATTGAATGGCCATATAATATTCTATGGAGTAATATATTTTAATTTTTCAGCCATTCCCTGATAATGGCCATTCACCCTGTTACCGGTTCTTGGCAGCTACAAACAAGGCTGCAATAAACATTCTTGCACACATGTTCGTACAAATAAGCACTTTTATTTTATGGAATAGATTCCTAGGAGTAGGGTTCTGGGGTCAAGGGAAATATGTATTTTTAATTTTAATAGATACTGCCAGATTGCCTTCCCAAAAAAAACGCCAGAATGCTCTACAGCAACACTAGCAACGGATGGAGCACCTGTCACCCCACAGTCCTGCTGGCAACAGGTAATAGGACTCTTCTTAACTTTTTGCCAGTTTAATGGATAAAAAGGAACATTTCATTATGTATTTATTTGCATTTCTCTGAATCCGGGCCACTGCATACACTGTGCAGTTTGTGCATAGGATGATGGGGCAGAAATCTGGCCCACAAATGGTTTGCAAGGACAGGCATCCTGACCGTGTTGAATGCAGAAAAAGGGGCCCCAATCTTTTCTTGTTTATATGAAGGTAATGCCAATGGACCCATCCTGACTACCTGAAATTTGAACACCTTTTTATATGGCTGTTGGATGTAGTTGGACTTCTGTGAATTTTCTTTCCATATCTGTTGCCCATTTTTCTGTTGGGAAGCAATAGAAAATATCTACTTGTATTATTTAATATTCATCTTGTCAATTTATAGGAGCTGAAATTTGCAAGATTAACTATATGGAAATTAACTCTGACTACCATCTGCATTACAGTTACTATCATTTGCCCAGTAACTTTGTATATGGTATCACTTATAAAATATTTTTAATGTTTTTAGTCAAATACATTTTTCTTTTGTAACTTTTGGCATCCAGTCTTCGTTAAAACTATCTCCTTAATCTCTAGAAAACACAGGCTAGGCACAGTGGCTCACCCTTGTAATCCCAGCACTTTGGGAGGCTGAGGCAGGTAGATCACCTGAGGTCTACCCAGATATAAACCCAAAGGATTATAATGTAGAGTATATACATTATTATGATACCCAAAGGATTATAAATCATTCTACTATAAAGACACATGCACACACATATGTTTATTGCAGCATTGTTCACAATAGCAAAGACTTGGAACCAACCCAAATGCCCATCAATGATAGACTCGATAAAGAAAATGTGGCACATATACACCATGGAATACTATCAACCATAAAAAAGATGAGTTCATATCCTTTGCAGGGACTTGGGTGAAGCTAGAAACCATCGTTCTCAGCAAACTAACACAGGAACAGAAAACCAACCACCACATGTTCTCACTCATAAGTGGGAGTTGAACAATGAGAACACATGGACACAGGGAGGGGAACATCACACACTGGGACCTGCTGGAAGTTGGGGGATAGGAGAGGAATAGCATTAGGAGAAATACCTAATGCTATACAGGCTGATGGGTACAGCGAACCACCATGGAATGTGTATACCTATGTAACAAACCTGCATGTTCTGCACATGTACCCCAGAACTTAAAGTAAAATAAATAAACAAATAAATAAAATGCATCTTTGGCATATGAAAATATAATGTAATCAGTACATCTACCTTCCTCCCAGAAAAATGCAAACAATTTTTAGAATACTTAACTTTAGGCCAGGCATGGTGGCTCACGGCTGTAATCCCAGCACTTTGGGAGGCCAAGGTGGGCGGATCACATGAGGTCAGGAGTTCGAGACCAGTCTGGCCAACATGGCGAAATCCCATCTGTACTAAAAATTAGCCAGGCATGGTGGCAGCCACCTATAATCCCAGCTACTCCAGAGGCTGAGGCAGTAGAATCGCTTGAACTCAGGAGGTGGAGTTTGCAGTAAGCAGAGATCACATCACTGCACTCCAGCCTGGGAGACAGAGTGAAACTCTACCTCAAAAAAAAAAAAAAAGAATATTTAACTTTACGTATCTCCTACCCAACTTATTTTCTGTCATGTATTTTAAAACTCTACAGTTGATATTCTTGTATATTACCCATTCATTTACCCTTTTCTTTGTTCTCCATTTGTTTGTTTTCTTGTTCTCTCATTTCTCTCCAACCTTCCATCTGAGATTATTCTCATTCTGCCTGAAAAAAAAAAAAAATGTGCCTTAGAATTTCCTTTAGTGGGTTTGCTGGTAATGAACACTCAGTTTTGGTTTGTCCATTTTGTTTTGTAAAATACCTTTATTTTTTCTTCTTTTTGTCTAGATAATTTCATAAATTTGAAATAATTTTAAACATTAATTTTCAAGACTAGAACAAAGAACCCCTTGCTTTCCTGAACCACTTGGAAATAAATTGCCAACATAATGCCCCATCACACTTAAACACTTTAGTCTATAATTCTTTTAAACAAGGACATCCTCCTACATAACCAAAATAAAAACACGAAAATCAGGAAATTAACACTATACATCATGACCAGCTAATCTACAGACTCATTCAAGTTTCGCAAATTCTTCCAATAATATCCTCTAGAAAACAAACCAATTCAAATGACCTGTTGCGTTATCCTGTCTCTTTTTTTGGTGGGGGAGAGACAGAGTTTCGCTCTTGTTGCCCAGGCTGGAGTGCAATAGCACCATCTCGGCTCACCACAACCTCCACTTCCTGGGTTCAAGAGATTCTCCTTCTTCAGCCTCCTGAGTAGCTGGGATTACAGACATGTGCCACCACACCGGCTAATTTTGTATTTTTAGTAGAAATGGGGTTTCTCCATGTTAGTCAGGCTGGTCTCAAACTCCCAACTTCAGGTGATCCACCCACCTCAGCCTCCCAAAGGGCTGGGATTACAGGTTTGAGCCACCGCGCCCGGCCTATCCTGTCTCTTTCATTTCCTTTGATCTGGAATAGTTCTTCACTTTCCTTGTCCCCGTGACCTTCACATTTTTCAAGATTACACGACAGGTTTTTGTGTGTCTGATGTTTCCTCATCGTCAGAGTTAGGATATGTGTTTTTGGCAGCAATACCACAAAAATGACAGTGTTCTTCTCATTGCCTCCCATCAGATGGTATGCAATGTAGACTTGTGTCATTACTGGTAATATTAACTTTGATCACCTGATTAGGGTGATACCTGCCAGCTTTCTCCACTGTGTGTTATTCTTTTCCCCTTTGCAGTTAATAAGTATTTTTAGGAGATATTCTGAAATTATGTACATATCCTGACTTTTGCCCTCTAGCCTCAGCATCCATTGATGTTTCTTTGCTGAATTAATTATGATGATAATGATTGCCAAATCATGATTGTACTCATTTATTTATTTTTGAGACAGGGTCTTACTCTGTTAGCCAGGCTGGAGTGCACTGGTACAGTCACAGCTCACTGCAGCCTTGACCTCCCAGGCTCAAGCGATCCTCCTACCTAAGCCTCCCAAGTATCTGGAACTACAGGCATGTGTCACCCACACCTGGTTAATTCATTCTTTTTTTTTTTTTTTTCTGTAGAAACAGGGTCTCACTATGTTGGTCTCGGTCTCCTGGGCTCAAGCAATCCTCCTGCCTTGGCCTCAAAAGTGGTAGGATTACAGGCGTGAGCTACTACGCCCGACCTAAATAGTGATTTTTCTAATTCTCTCGTTCCTTCTCCATTTATTCATTGACACTCCACTGCAAGAAAATGTTTTCTCCTCTCTTTGTTTATTCATTCTCTTTTCTTTTTTTTTTTTCTGAGATGGAGTCTCGCTCTGTCACCCAGGCTGGAGTGCAGTGGCATGATCTCAGCTCATCGCAACCTACACCTCCCGGGTTCAAGCAAGGCTCCTGACTCAGTCTCCCAAGCAGCTGGGTCTACAGGCAGGTGCCACCACACCCAGCTAATGTTTGTATTTTTAGTAGATACCAGGCTTCATCATGTTGGCCATGCTGGTCTCGATCTCTTGACTGGGTGATCCTCTGGCCTCAGCCTCCCAAAGTGCTGGCATTACAGGCATGAGCCACTGTGCCTGGCCTTCCAATCTCGTTTTCAATCTTTCTACATTTGTAGCTCTCTTCTCCAGTAGTGAGAATCCCATCTCCCATTGTTACCAATACGTTTACTCATCAAATCATGTTATGGGCTGAATCATGCTCCCCTCCAAAATTCAGGGAAGCCCTAATCCCCACTACCTCAGAATATGAATGTATTTGGAGATAAGGCCTTTAAAAAGGTGATTCAGGCCAGGCGCAGCTGCTCGCACCTGTAACCCCAGCAATTTGAAAGCCAGAGGCGGGCAGATCACTTGAGGCTAGGAGTTTGAGACCAGCTTGGCCAACATGCAAAACCCTGTCTCAACGAAAAATACAAAAATTAGCTGGGCGTGGTGGCACGCCTCTGCTGTCCCAGTCACTCAGGAGGCTGAGGCAGGAGAATTGCTTGAACCCGGGCAGCTGAGGTTGTAATGAGCCGAGATCATGCCAGGGCACTCCAGCCTGGGCAACAGAGCAAGACTCTGTCTCAAAAAGTAAATAAATAAAGATGTGATTCAATTAAAAGGAGGTCATTAGGCTGGGCCCTAATCCAATTTGACTGGGGTCCTTATACAGAAGAGGAAATGTGGACACAGAGGAACAAGCAGGGATGCTCACAGGCAGAGGAAAGGCCATCTACAACCCAAGGAGAGAGGCTTCAGAAGAAACCAAACCTGCCAACACCTTGATCTTGGACTTCTAGCTTCCCAGACTGAGAAAGCAAATTTCTGTTGTGTAACGACACCCGGTCTGTGGTGTTTTATTATTGCAGTCCTATCCAACCAATATCGATCCAGCCAGCCAAAACCAACATCATCTAAAACCAGCACCAACAAATATTTTGTGATTGCCAGCCTGCCTTAAGCAAGTTCTAAGAAGCACATATTTCTGTAGCAATCTCATTATCTATATACATTCAGCCTGAGATGGTGGCTCATGCCTGTAATCCCAGTGCTTTGGGAGGCTGAGGCAGAAGAATCGCTTGAGCCCAAGAGTTCAAGTCCAGCCTAGGTCACTTATAGTGAGACCCTTGCCTCCACGAAAAAAAAAAACAGCTGGGCATGGTGGCATATACCTAGAGTCTCGGCTATTCAAAAGGCTGAGATGGGAGGATGGTTTGAGCCTGGGAAGCTGAGGCTACAGTGAACCATGATGGCACTTCACTACACTCCAGCTTGGGTGACAGAGCAAGACTCTGTCCCAAAAAAAGAAATAAATAAAATAAATAAATAGGTAAATTCAGTATTTGCTGCCAACCAACTACCTGTGCACAATCTCGGTGTGCTTGCAGGGACTGGTTTGGTCTCAGAGTTAAGGAGCCAGTGGATTTTGTCACAATATATATTCTGTGCATGTGGCACTCTTACGGACCTTATTTATTCTGAAGATCTCACTGATGGCTTGGCCAATCCGCAACACCTACGGTGCGTACTTACTGAGCACCAGAGAGTATAATCACTGACAAGGAAACCAGCTCAAAGCTTAGCCTGTTCCTTAGAAAGGCATTGCTCAAACCGTGACCCCCCTAGGAAGTATGCTTTGAATTGCACCACCATCTAACCTTAACTTATTCAAAATTTCAGAGATCTGAAATATGACTCTGGATCATAGCCCCCAACTCCTTTATCTCACCCATTCTTATTCCTCTTGGACTTTATGTTCCGACTTCACGAGTCTAAGAATGATTGCTCTGGCTGCCTGCACTGAGCGATCTGCTGGGGCCTAGAAGCCCCAGCTGTGCTTTCTCTGCCTCTGACACCTCCCCTGGTAATAAACAGAGCTCTACCAGAGTTTCCCTAATGACTTCTGCAGCAATGGACAACACTGCCACTCATTAATGGTGGCACTAGCACTATGGGGCTAGTGGAAACAAATGTTTATTTGGTTCCAGAAAATTAGCCATTCCCACCATTAGACACTGTCCACAGAGGTCTAATGGTGGGATTGGCTCATTTACAAAAATGAGCCAATGGTGAGAAGCCATTTACAGAAAGAGAAGCTTATTTTGCTGAAACCTCCACCGTAAGGTGAGGTGGTTAAACCTTCTGCAACAGCAACACACCATGGCTGAATCTTAGCCTTGTCTCAAAGAGCTGCTTCCTTAGGGGAGCAGAGAAATTATACCCATGCCTCAGAGTGGGAAAACAGAGGCCTAGAAACCCCCACTTCCCTGCAATTCTCTGTTACTTTGCTAGCTTTTACAGCTAAGCTGCTGTGATTCTCACTATGTCTGTGGAAGAAGGTTATCATGCATCCTGCTGGGTTCAAATTCACTGTGTCCTCAAGTGCTCACTGTGGGTCACGCACTGTTCTATGTTGTTATATAATCTCAGTACATTTAATTCTCACACTGAGGTGAATTCCTCACCTTTCAGATGGGAAAACTGAGGCTGTCCTGGGGAAACCCAGGACAGGATAAGAAGGTAATCCATTCTGCATTCAGATGCAGAGAGGTCAAGTAACATGCCCAAGGTCACACAGTTAAACTGCAAAGGAACAGGAATTCAAACACAGGTCAAGTACCCCCACAGCATGCAGTCTGGCCTCCCAGGCTATATTGTGGGTAATGGTCAACAATAATTACATGTATATAAAGTGTCTTCCTTCCAACATGCAAAACACTTCCAAATAGGTTTTCTCATTTACCTATGGTGTAACGCCTTTCTAATCTGGAAAGATGAAGTCACAGTGCTTCAGATTACCTCCTTTAATGCATAACAGGGGACTGCATCTTCAAATTTGGGACAGAACAGGAATAAATTAATCTGTGAAAGCATGCCGCCCCAAGGGTGTTGACTCACCTAAGGTGGGGTGGGGGAAGACAGGCCGGACAGAGGACACAATTTGGGGAGATTGCTTACATTAGCCTTCTTGGTTTACCTGATTTTATATGGATGTGATCCCAGAAAACACAACAGAAAGATTCAAGCCCTCAAAGTCCCTATGCCCTCTCCTGGGAACAAGAACAACATTCTCATCTGATTCTCAGAAAGTCTCCCCAGGCACAGGCACACCGTTTCTGATTAATTCCGCTTGGCTTCAAGTCCTTCTGTAGTTTCCTAGGGCTAAAGAAAAGCTGAATTTTCCCAGTTCCTTTCCTCATGTCCCCTAAAGGCAATCCTCCTATCAGTGCTCTACAGAAATTCAAATGCAGAAGAAACCAGGGAGGCAGTAAGATTTCCAAGAATTGCATGCCTCAAGTTTTTTTCTTTTTCTTTTTTTTCCTGCTCTCATTCTGCTGGATTTTCCTTCTCTTAATCTATTGCTTTCTGTGTTTATAAAGCTGTTGACACCAACAATGTCAGTCACAGAAAGAAATGCACGTCCTTTTAATGTTCTTTTCTCTTGCTAAGGACATGAATTATGCTCATGGAAGCTCCAGCAAGGTACTCTTCCTGTGAAAGCCTCCTCTTTCTCTAGTCTAGACTCTCCTTGGAAGAAGACCCCAAATTTGCAAATGTTTAACAGAGGGGGGAAAAAAGCTGTAAAAATTATTTTACGAATCCTCATAATTAAAGCACAATTCTTGGAATCACCCCTTCCAATGGCTTGTCTCTGTGTCCAAGAAAAGGTTTCATTGATTTCTAAGACTGAGACCCCCTCTCTATGGCAAGGAATGGAGAAATGAACACCCAAGGATAAAGCCTGCTGAAGGAAATACAGTTCTGTACCATAAATAAGCCACAAATTACATTACTTGGGTAATCTAGATGCCTGGGGAGGTAGAGTTACTACAACATGCTCTCTCTTTAATTCACAATTTAAGATGCTTAGCCATCAGGCCAGGACAGGACAAGAAGATAATCCATTCTGCACTCAGATCTAGAAAGACAAGCCTGGCTAATAGTGACCTTTCTTGACTAACAGACTGCACTTTTGAAAATCGCATTGTATAAGAATACTTATTGACCTCAAAAAAGCATTATTCACAACATACTGTTTAAACCACACAAAAAAAGTAATTACCTTAAAGAGCCCTTTTCTGAAACAGCATCCGACTGAGCTGATTCAAAAGAACTATTAACAGTTTGGGTAAGATGAAGAGAAATAAAACCACTGTGGCATCCAAGGGGTAGCAAGAGTGGAAAGCTGTGACCACTAAGGGGCTCAAAGGAGTAAGGGGAAAATGAAATTTCTGGCTCCTGGATGAGGGGCCAGAAAACATATTCCCAAGCAAGGAAGGAGCAAGCAAAATGCTCATTTCTCTCTCCATCCACCCACCTATCTACTACGGGTGTCTCTCACTGGTTGAACTCAACTAGAAGGCTGGCAGCAGAGGAGTCCAGGTAATGCATTTTGTAGATATGCACACAGCAGACCAAAGAAGGATGAAGAGTAGATGGGGAACAGGGGAGCTAAAAGAGAATAGTCACCTGACCCAAAGTAGCCCCCAGTCACTTCTTATCACATCTTGTCATTGCACTTATCATTTTTATTTTTCTGTCTCTCTCCCCACTGGAATGTGAGCTCGTTGAAAGCAAGGAATCTGTCTGCCTTGTTCAAAACTGGATCCACACATGGAATGTTGGAGGCCAGGAAGACTGCGGAAGGCATCCTCATGGGTGAAGGGTACAGGGTTTCCCAGTCCAGGTTTCCAGAGCCTGAGTGGGGAAGGAGGACATCTGTATTGGGCAGGGGATGGAGGCAGAGAGAGGAGATGTCTATGTAGAAGGGGACTGATCAAACAAGTAAATAAAAATAATGAGAACCTCACTCCTGGCTGGAGAAGTAAGCTACAAACACAGAAAGGGAGAAAACTAGAATCAGCCCTAGAGTGATGCATTGGAATTGGAGATACTGGTGTAAACTCATGGTTTTCAAAATATGTGAGTAGACAGATGTACAAATAAATATAGACGTAAGTAACTGTGTGTCGGGGGGGTGGGAGGGTGCTCCCAACTGTAACCATGGAGAAGGCCTTGGAACAAGATACCCTAATAGCAATAAGCACACTTAGCACTCAGGTCTTGGCTTCTAAATACCAATTTCCATGAAGTGGAGATTAAGTTCAATTGAATTAAGTTGAATGGAGCTGAAGATTAGGTGACAGTAGTGTATCAATGGCAATTTTTCAATTTTGATGGTTATACCTTGGATACAAAGGAGAATGCCCATGTCTCTAGGAACTACGAACTAAAAGTACTCCAGACTAATGACGTACCAAATCAGTACTTACCCTCAGGAAAAGAAAAACAAAAATTCTCTAGTTGGAAGTATTCTATTAGTTTGTCATTGTTTTCAAAAATAATCTTCTTAATTAAAAAAAAAAATGCACTTACATCCCCAGCACCTAGAACAGGTCTGGCGTTCCAAGTGCTCAATAAATATTTGTTGAATTAATTACTCTAGGACATAAACTGTTACAACAAACACATGCTTAGAAAAACACACATCCAAATATTAACAGTGGTTTTTTTGGAGGGACGGATTTATCACAGATAATTTGGGTATTTTTTCATTTGTGTTTTTCTGTTTTAAGTTTTCTTATATTATTGTGCTTTTTTTTTTCTTTTTTGAGACAGAGTCTCACTCTGTTGCTCAGCCTGGAGTACATTAGTGAGATCTCAGCTCACTGCAACTTGCACCTCCCGGGTTCAAGTGATTCTCCTGCCTCAGCCTCCTGAGTAACTCTTGCAGTTGATTTAAACAAATGTTGATTTGTTTAAATTAACATTTGTATTTTCCATTTTGGAGGATGGGGAGATGTGGGGATGGCTAATGGGTACAAAAACATAGTCTGAAAGAATGAAAAAGTTTTAGAATTGTCCATTACCCAGGGCTCCCACTTTTCCAAAATCATAATGGAGTCAGTCATCAGTTTAGTGAATATGTAATCACACAAAGAGGGATAGAGAGTTTTGCAGAAGGCGGTGGCTCACGCCTGTAATCCCAACACTTTGGAAAGCCAAGGTGGGCAGATCACTTGAGCTCACAAGTTCGAGACCAGCCTGGGCAACATAGAGAGATCCCTATCTCTACAAAAAAAACAAAACTCAGTGGGTGTGGTGATATGCACCCATGGTCCCAGCTACCTGGGGGGCTGAAGTGAGAGGACTGCTTGAGCCTGGGAGGTGGAGGTTGCAGTGATCTGAGATCGCCACTACACTCCAGCCTGGGTGACAGAGCGAGATGCTGTCTCAAAAACAAAACGGAAAACTTACTAGATAGTCACAAACACTGGATTATGCCTGATTATTTTTTTAAAATGGGCGCTGTGCACCAAGTCCTGGGTGAGGTGCTCTATCATCAGAGCTTACTCGTTACCACCTTCCTCAGTAGGTGTCTTATCCTCACTCTAACCTGTGAAGAAACTGAGGGTGGAATGCCTAATGACTTGCCCAATGCCCAGCAAGCTTCCTTTGTGCACTGATTTGCGAACATTCTTTAATCTTTTCTCTGTGTGTGTTGCAGGTCCCCAAGGTATATCTCATGTCTACCTCACTGTCCCCTCCATGGACACTCAACAGAGCCTGCTGGTCGGCTGCCAGCCGCTCATTCCCTCAGCAAGCCCAAGCCAAGTCCTCCTGCTGCCTTCCTCCAGTGTTCCCCCCTCTTCCGTGGAGAAGCCGGCTTGACTCCTCTCCCAGAGTTCAAGTCTAAATCCTGCCTCCCGTCTGCACCTCCCTTCCATCCTGGCTACCCCCACCTGGTTTGGCCCTAACTACCTTTCACAAAGACTGTTGCTGCAATAAATTCCTTTGGGGTCTCCCAGTTGACTTTCACAATCTTTTCTTCCCAACCCCCTACACGGTGATTTCCCAGAAGCACAGCTCTAGTCCTGTCACTTCCCAACTCTCAAACTCTCAGAGCTTCCCATTGTCTACTTTTTTTTTTCCAAGACAGTGTCTGCTCTGTCACCCAGGCTGGAGTGCAATGGTAGAATCTCCCCTCACTGCAACCTCCGCTTCCCGGGTTCAAGCCATTCTCCTACCTCAGCCTCCCAAGTAAGTGGGATTACAGGCACCGGCCACCACACCTGGCTAAGTTTTTGTATTTTTAGTAGAGACTGGGTTTCGCCAGGTTGGCCAGGCTGGTCTCGAACTCCTGGCCTCAAGTGATCCACCAGCTTGGCCTCCCAAAGTGCTGGGATTACAGACAAGAGCCACTGTGCCAGGCCTGACTATTCTTTCCCTGTCAATTCCTGCAGCAACAAGCCCCAACCCACCCTACGGGAGTTTTGCTTCCAAGATTCCCCTCCCATCCAGCCAGCTTGAAACGGCTCCAGCCAGGTTGTTCCTTCAGCTGGATTTCTCTCTGCCTTCTCTTCAAAAGCTTCATGAAGCGGTCCTTTATTCTGACTATGCCCACTTCTCTCGTTTTCCTCATCACCCCACCCCACTCCACACGCAGTACTTATCTACAAAGTCCTCAGAGTCAGGAGTTGAGCCTGAAATCCCAGCGTCCTCGTTATGGGCTGAAATGCCTTCACACAGCGTGCCATGGATGAACCCCATCGCCTGCTTTAAAACGGGTCCAGCTACGGGCAGGGGTCTGGGTTATGGAGCCGCATGATGCCCCAAGGCCTGCTGCTGGGCCCCACCAAGCCTGGCTCTGTGAACTCAGGTGTCCTCACAAACTGTCTCTTCGGGCCACCAGTCCATCAGAGGCTTCCGTTTTCCTTTCAGAAGATCTCATAATCGTCAGCTGATACCCGGGACAGGCACAGCACACATAGGTCATTCTGGAAATACTGATGATGTGAAACAAACTCCGAGCTGGAGGGGACCTGAGAATGATAGATCAGATTCCTTCTCTCAATAAGAAATCAAGGCACAGAGAAGGAAAGAGATTCGCCCTAGGTGCCACAGCAAACAGGAGCAGTACTGGAGCCAGCACCGAGGACTCTTAGTTCCACGGTCAGGGATCGCTCCGCTACACCTTGAACCCCGCAGACCCAGGGCAGCGGTCTCCGCCGCCTGAGGCCATTGCCGAAGACATCACCGCCTGTCGTAACATCACGTTACTTCAGTCCCTCGGCTCAGACTCCTTCGCTCTTTCCACCACAGCGAGAGGACTTCTCCAGGGTGGGATCAGCCGGCAGAGAGAGGCGGATACTGCCGCTCTGGAAAGGGACTCCCTGCAGTTTCGCGCTCAGGGAGCAGTCCCCGGCCCCGCCCCCACGTGCGCCTATCCCCGCCCCTAAACGCTCCCGGCCCCGCCTCCACGTGCATCCGGCCCTGACAGGCCAGGCCTGGGAGGAGCCGAAGCCCTAATCCCCGCCTTCTCCGTATGATGGCGCCTATTGACGTTGATAGACAGAATCCCCTTCCAGTGAGAAGAAAAGGAAGACCTCTGTAGCCCTATCGGCTACTACAACACCAAAGACCGATCCACCTAACTGGCTGACGCTACACCTCGGTCTTTCCGGGTCCTTGCACACTTGGGCCCAATTCCTGCAGAGCTAAGGTCGAGGGGGATCCGGAAGAAACCCTCTGAACAGGTAAGTCTGTGCTGCCTGGGGTGACTATTGGCGTCGGTTTGAGGGCTGCCGCTTTCCCGCTGCAGAGCTCGGGGTGGGAGACCCGCGCAGCTTAAGAAGGCCGGGGAAAGGGGCGGGGAGGAACGAGGAGGGACGAGCACGTGGAACGGCAGCACTACCGGGCCTGGGTGGTAACTGGGTTGGCGCGCTCCGCCTGTTCGGGGGCGCTCAGGGCCCTCCGGCCGGATCAATACTGCAGCCGTAAACACGCAGGGAGGGCATCCCGAGTGTCGCCACTGACGGCGTTTCTCTAAGCCCTGATGCCGAAGGCCTCACCCGACACCTGGCGGTGGCTGGGCAGCGAGCCCTGTGGCGGTGAACAGCTAAGGCGTGACCGACGCTTACGAAGTGGCCGGCCCTGTGCTGGCGGCTTCACAGCCACTAACTTTTCCCAACACCAGCCCTGTGTGTGCTTGTCAGACGCAGGAAGGGGTGCAGTTTGGTTATCCGTGGGGGTAGCGCACGAACTAGCAAATGGTGGGGCCTGCATTTGGCCCTCGCCTCCACTCTTGAGTTGTGTGTTAGCGAGAAAGCCAGTTCTTCCACGCCTCACGGGCTTCCCGGGGACTTCAGAAATCATGACACGTTTCACCATGGTGGTCAACAGACATTGTCTTGTGACCCCAGCAGCGCAACCAGAAGTAAAGAAAACTTAGGGTACAGGTTTCTAGAGGAAAGAATTCCAAAGTCCCAAACTCTGGTTTTAACCAGAGAAATTAGAGTTGAGGTGGTGCCCTGTGGGTAACCAGGCCTGGGGGTCCTACCAACAGAGGTGGAATCCCTGTTTCACCATTTAACTTACGCTGGATAGGATACCTAGCCATCTAAGCCTCGGTTTCCTCATTTGTAAAATAGGAATGAAAATACCAACTCAGGTCCAGTGCGGTGGCTCGGGCCTGTAATCCTAGCACTTTGGGAGGCCAAGGCAGGCGGATCACGAGGTCAGGAGATCGAGACCATCCTGGCCAGGTGTGGTGGTGGGCACTTGTAATCCCAGGTTATCGAGAGGCTGAGGAGGAGAATCCCTTGAACCCAGTGGGCAGAGGTTGCAGTGAGTCGACATAGCGCCACTGCACTGCATCTTGGGAGACAGAGGGATACTCCCTGTGGGGCGGGGGGAGGACAACAACTCAATTTGGGCGTTAGTACAAAGCCAGTTGCCTGAAGTATTTCTTAAAGGTTACCAGAAGACATTGTTGTTCTTTAAGTCAGCCGTTTAAAATGTTGTTTTACAGTAAACAACTCCTAACTGAATGGATTTTAGAGACAGAGCCGCCCTTTGCCCAGGCCAGAGTGCAGTGGCCCGCCCATGGCTCACTGCAGCCTGGATCTCCTGGCTTTAAGTGATCCTCCCACCTTTGCCTCCCGAGTAGCTGGGACTGCTGGGAATACAGGCGCGCTCCACCACACCTATCTAATTTTTAAAATTATTTGTAGAGACAAGGGTCTCACTCTGTTGCCCAGGCTGGTCTCAAACTCATGGGGTCAAGCTATCCTCCCACCTCAGTCTCCCAAAGTGCTGGGATTAGAGGTGTGAGCCACCACCCGGGCTATAGAAGCCACTTTGTATTCAGCTTTACAAACCAGTGGCATTAATATTTTGCACTCTACAGCTCGCTAGTCTACAGACTCTTTTTTTCTTTTTTTGGGACAATCTTGCTCTGTCGCCAGGCTTGAGTACAGTGGTGTGTCTCGGCTGCTGTGACCTCCGCCTCCTGGGCTCAAGCGATTTTCCTGCCTTAGCCTCCAGAGTAGCTGGGACTACCGGCGTGCGCATCACCAGGCCCAGCTAATTTTTGTATTTTAGTAGAGTCGGGGTTTCTCCATTTTGGCCAGGATGGTTTCGATTTCTTGACCTCGTGATCCACCCGCCTTGGCCTCCCAAAGTGCTGGGATTACAGATATGAGCCAGACACTTAGAGAATTCCCTTGTTGGCTATCTAGGATATTCCTCATTCTATCTATTACAGCATGGTGTAGTAAACATCCTTTTTTAATGAATATAGTTCACATACCCTAAAATTCACTTTATAAACTGTGTTCAATCCTGTGGGGTTATTATTATTATCGGCAAGATTGTGCAACCATCACCACTGGAACATTATCCCCCCGAGAAGCAACCCCGTGGCGCCGGGACTCCCAAGAGTCTCTGAGCCCCAGTTATTGGTCTCCAGTCCAGGGCCCCTAACCATGTGCTAAACGAGATGGTAAGGCTCAGCCTGGAACCAGAACAGCTCCGACACCCCCCAAACCGGAGAGCCCAGTTGGGAGGTGGATCCTCTTCCCCATTGAGCTTTGGCATGCTGAGGCTGGACTGTCCCCCTGTGCTGTCAGGCCTACCTCCCGGGGGAAGGCGAGGCCAGCCTCCACGCTCGGCTTCCGGGCTGGCCGGCGGGAATGGGGGGGGTCCCAACACTGGTGAAACCCAGGGGACCCAGAAGCACTGACAGCGTGGAAGCCCGGGGCTGCCCCCTACTGGGTGTAGCGTGCCCCTCCCACCCCCATCCTTCTCTGGGCGTGCGCCTTGGGCCTGTTGAGGCCAGGCCTGGAATGGGGCACTGGGGGCGGGGAAAGAGCCTGTAATTCCGGAAGCTGCGGGCTCCCAATCCCGACAGCATTTTGGAGACTGTGCAAAAATGAGTGCCGCTTTTCTGTGGAAAACTGCTAGACCGCGAGAGAAAGCCAGCCTCGTGCACGGACCTTTATAGAGGGTGGTCCACATATTCTGTATAATGCATACACAGATGCTGGGCGCATACTGGCTCTCTGTGTTAAACCTCAGAATGGCTGCCACCCGCGTAATGGCTGACGCCTGTCATCCCAACACTGCGCCAAGGTGGGAGGATCACTGGAAGCCAGAAATTCGAGACCAACCTGGGCAATAAAGCGAGACACTGTCTCGACAGAAGCATTTTTAAAATTAGCCGGGTGTGGTGGTGGGTGCCTGTAGTCCCGGCTACTCCAAGGTTGAGGCAGGAGGACGGCTTGAGCCCGGGAGATGGAGGTTGCCATGAGCAGAAATCGCCCCACTGCACTCCAGCCAAATGGGGGGTAGGAGGGAATAAGTAAATAAAATTAAATAAAGTGATATCCCGCTGTGGCTTTGATTTGCATCAACCTAGGGACTAATGATGTTTAGTATCTTTTCATGTGCCAATTGGCTATTTGTGTAACTTTTTTTTTTTTTTTAATGAAGTTTTGCTCTTGTCACTAGCAGGCTGGAATGCAGTGGCACGATCTTGGCTCACTGTAGGCTCCGCCTCCCAAGTTCAAGTAATTCTCCTGCCTCAGCCTCCCGAAGAGCTGGGACCACAGGCGCCACCACCACCCCCAGCCAATTTTGTCTTTTTAGTAGAGACGGTTGTCACCATGTTGGCCAGGCTGGTCTCGATCTCCTGTCCTCAAGTGATCTGCCCGCCTCAGCTTCCCAAAGTGCTGAGATTACAGGCGCGACGCGGTGTCCGGCCCTAAATAGTGTTTTTTGATGCATGGAAGTTTTTGATTTCGATGAAGCCCAATTTGTATGTGTGTATGTATGTATTGTGTGTGTGTGCTTTTGTTGTCATATTTGAGAAATCATTGCCTGATCAATATCATGATGACTTATACTCTGTTTCCTTCAAAGAGTTTTATAGTTTTAGATCTAGATCTATTTTTCTTTGTTTTTGTTCCATATAGTATAAAGTAGGCATCCAAATTCATTCTTTTGCAGTTTGATATTCAAATGTCCCAGCAGTTGAAAAGACTCTTCTTTCTTTTATTGGATGGTCTTGGCACCTTGATGAAAACCAATCGACCATAAATAGGTACATGGATTTATTTCTGGTCTCAGTTCTACTCCATTGATCTGTATTTCTATCCATATGCTAGTAAACAGTGTCTTGATTACTGTAGCTTTGTCAGGCATTTTGAAATTGAGAGGTGTGAGTCCTCCCAACTCTTCCTTTTCAAGATGGTTATGAATATTCTGACTCCCTTGCATAATATGAATTTAGGATCTGTTTATCCAGTGCTCCAAAAAATGGTAGTTGAAATTTTGACAGGGATTGTCAGGTATTAAACCTGTAATTTGTTTCAACAGTGTTTTATAGTTTTCTGTGTACACACCATACATTTATTATGTTAAATATATTCCTAAGTTGACCAGGTGCAGTGGCTCACGCCTGTAATCCCAGCACTTTGGGAGGCCAAGGCAGGTGGATCACCTGAGGTCAGGAGTTTGAGTCCAGACTAACCAATATGGTGAAACTCCATCTCTGCTAAAAATACAAAAATCAGCCGGGCCCGGTAGGGGTGCCTGTAGTCCTAACTACTTGGGAGGCTGAGACAGGAGAATTGCTTGAACTGGGGGAGTGGAGGTTGCAGTGAGCCAAGATCATGCCAGTTCACTCCAGCCTGGGTGACAGAGCAAGACTCTTGTCTCAAAAAAAAAAAAAAAAAAAAAAAAAAAAAAAAAAAAATATATATATATATATATATATGTATTCCTAAGTACTTTTTCTCTTCTTTAGTAACTGAGCCTGAGCAGGACCAGAGGAGTACTTTATTCTTTTTGAAGCCATTGTAAATGTAATTTTTGTTTAATATTCAGGCTGTTCATTGCTAGTGTATAGAAATACAACTGGTTTTTCTATACTGATCTTGTGTCCTGCAACCTTGCTGAAATCATTTTTTAGGTCTAGTAACTTTTTGGTGGATTTTTAGGATTTTCTGTGTATAAGGTCATGTTTGTTTGCCTTTTATTTCTTTGTCTTGCGTAGTTGCCTGTCTAAAACTTCCACTACAGTGATGGAATAGAAGTAGTGAGAACCAACATCTTTGTCTTGTTCTTGCCGTAGAGGGAAAACTTTGTCTTTAGCCAGTAAATATGATGTTAGATGTGGGTATTTTGTAGATGGCCTTTTATCAGGTTGAGGAAACGACCCCTTCTGTTTCTAGATAGTTGAGTATTTTTTTTATCG